ATGAGGAAACGGACCAAAAATATTGTGAATCCCCTCAAAAATATTGGGAAATCCCTCTAAAATATTTGAATAAAATAAAGGGGAAACGGATATACAATTCTGGGAAATCGATCAAAAAAAAGAGGAAACTCCTCAAAATTTGAATTTAGAGGGATTTCCGAAAAATTTGAAGAAATCGCGGAAATGCCTCAAAAAAACCGGTTTTTGAGGGGTTTCCGAGTATTTTTGATCCGTTTCCGTGTTGAGTCGTTTCCGTGTTGAGGCGTTTCCATGTCACCAAAATTTATATACGTGACGACTGTTACAATTCATGTACATGACGACTGTTACAATTCATGTATGTGACGACTGTTACAATTCATGTACATGACGACTGTGTTACAATTCATGTACGTGCCGACTGTTACAATTCAAGTACATGACGACTGTTACAATTCATGTACGTGACGACTGTTACAATTCATGTACGTGCCGACTGTTACAATTCAAGTACGTGACGACTGTTACAATTCATTTAAGTGACGACTGTTACAATTCATGTACGTCACGACTGTTACAATTCATGTACAAGACGATTAGTACAATTCATGTACGTGACGACTGTTAATTTTTTTTCAGCGCTACAGTTATATCTAACAAATAAACAATGTTGTTTTATTCCTGGAACATCTAATTGTGGACTTTACTTTTAAGTTCCATCAAAATTGATTCAGAGATTAACCCTATTCTTGCAGAGGGGGGGGGGTCAATTTAACACCCCCTTGTAGTTTTTTTTTACATAACTCAAAAAGTATTGGTCTGAGGCTGTTGAAATTTTCTGACTTTTTCTACATACCCAAAGCCCTCCCTTTAGGCCTAAACCCGGGCTTTAATACTAACTGCCTGAGTCCTCAGGCACACTGCCTGAATGACTGCTTTTTCCTGTAACAAACTAAATCTTTGTTTTGACCCACTTTCACTTGTCATATTTGGATAAAAGTTAGCTTTTTGGAAAACCTATGACATAAGGAAACGAATTGCACAAGTTTTGCGACCCCCCAGCATATCCTAGTTTTCAAGTACCCCAGCAGGGATAGGGTTAAGATTTTCGGAGAAAATTGATATAATACTCTATTGTTTGTGATACCCCAAAGCTCATTAAATACTTATAAAGACTTTTCTGGCATGAGAACTTGAAATCAGCTCTCAATGTTTTCTCTCTGCAGTGCATCAATATTTTGTATCTTTTTATTCTAAATTTCTAACTTTCAGATTTTAGTCCTAAAATGGCCGATGAGATGAGTATTAGGTATTATTTTTCATCTATGGGTGCTATTTTGATTATGACATGCAAACTCACAGAGACGACTGTATGGATTTTTTTATCCGTTGTTCTTGCATTTGTATTTTTTTTTTTGGGGGGGGGGTAAATCTTTAAATAAAATACATTTTTAAGCTTTATAATTTAAAGAGCCAAGTTCACACTTCAGATCATAATATCTAAAGAATTCAGTGTCTGAATTCAATGAATTTGAGCCGCGTCTTAAATCCACCAAAAACCGGTTTTAATTGAGCGCCGGCTTAAATCTTGAAACCATGAATACAATTTTAAGGTAAACCAACCATATTTAAGCCGCCGCTCAAATTCTTTAAATTCGGTCTCATGGTCTTTATAAAAGTTTCATGTTTTGTGGGTTACGATATAAATACAAATTAATCTTAATCTTAAAATTGATCACATTAAATTGCTTCGAACGTCCCATTTCATGTAAATTTTAAAAAATATATATAATATTTGTTGAAAAATACTTTTTTAATTCTATGATGTTTCTAACCTCAGGTCCAAATTAAAAAAAAAAAAAAACTTTAAATGTTATTTTGGATTCGATATATGTTAACAAAAGAGTATATTAAACAAGGTTGTATTATCTTGTTAGATACTACGGCTGCGCTCCAATGTACCAAAGTTGTCGAACCTGTAGCAATGGACACTAAATATCCTAATATGACGTAACTAATTGTTGTTTGTGAGAGAGGGGGGGGGGAGAATTTTCTCCACTTAAAGATTAATTGAGTGTCCATTGCTTTGTCAACGACATATTTAGTGCCTTACATTGCATCCAGAGTATTTAACATTATTATACAACCTTGATATTAAACATCTGTATACAGTCGACCAGCATCTGGGGGTACATGGGCAGCCAGTCGACCGACCTCTGCAGCTCCTAATAGTAGACCTTCATCTGGTAGCCGACCCCCAACAGGAAGTAGACCTCCAACAGGAAGCCGACCTCCAACAGGAAGTAGACCACTTACCGGAAGTAGACCTCCAACCGGAAGTAGACCTCCAACCGGAAGTAGACCTCCATCAGGAAGTCCATCTATTCTAGGTAAACTTTTCTTTTCATAAATAAGTTAAATTCTGGGATATATTTAATATTCAAAATAAAATCAATATTAATTCAACTTGAGTTTTAAAGAATTTTTTTTCAGGTGTAAGTAGGCCATCTTCAACATCTAGCTTAAGGTTAGATATTTAATAAAATCAGTTATGATTGTTTAAAGGGAGTGACCACTGACTAGCAAGAGGAGATAGTTGAACTGAAAGCGCAATATCTCTGAATATAATACATAATATATATAGTAGAACAATAGATAGACTATTAGTCTGGTTGATTAATTTGCAAATTGATTAATTGATTAGGCTCCTTAACCCTATCTCTGCTGGGGTACTTGAAAACCAGGATATGCTGCGGGGGGGTAAATTTGACCCCCCCCCCCCTCTAAATCCCATGTTTGATGTCCAAATATAACAAATGATACATCATTGGAAAGCTCTTGTGCTCTACTTTTAGAATCTGCAAAAAAAAAATCAAGTTATAAAGTAAAAATGTTTGCAAAAAAAATTGTCCAAAAAATGAAAAATTATACATTTTTAAAAAGCCCTTGACCATGCACTTTCAAATATGCAAAAGTTTTTGCAAAATTTCAAATAACCTGAATTTTAATCAAGAAAAACTAAAAATGTGCAAATTTCCTTTGACAGGTTGTTTGCAAAAAATTTGCATTTTTTTTCGCAAAACTTGTGCAATTCGTTTCCTTATGTCAAAGGCTTTCCAAAAAGCTAAAGTTTATCAAAATCTCACAAGTGAAAGTGGGTCAAAACAAAGATTTAGTTTGTTACAGGAAAAAGCAGTCATTCAGGCAGTGTGCCTGAGGACTCAGGAAGTTAGTATTAAAGCCCGGTTTTAGGCCTAAAGGGAGGGCTTTGGGTATGCAGGAAAAGTCAAAAAATTTCAACAGCCTCAGACCAATACTTTTTGAGTTATGTAAAAAAACTACAGGGGGGGTCAAATTGACCCCCCCCCCCCAGCAGGGATTGGGTTAACTCAAACGCAACAGTCCCAAATAATCAGTAAATAGAATGCATTTCAAACCTGCAATAGAATGCAGGTATAATGAAATAGAATTATAATAAATAGTTGAATATTTAATAGTATAACTTACTAGTTTTCTGTGTCATAGTAAAATGGAGTGATTGAGGATTTGATGGAAAAAATTTAAAACATTTGTAAACACTTCAGAAAATATGAACCCGGGTTTTAAAGGGGAATTTACTACGGATTGCAAAGTTAATTATTGATTTGATCTTCAACTTAGTAAAATGTTTCACTGTTTCGATTTCCCTGTTTAAAGGTAGAGAAGTAGAGTCAGAGAAATTGTTTGGTTTGGATTTGTGGCTGGTAAAGACGACATGACATGAGGGTTGTGGTTAGGAGATAGGTTTATGGTCAATGAAGTAGTAATCTTTTTTGTATATGGCAGATCATAACTCAAAAGCCCTTGACCAATTTGCCTCAAATTTCAAACGAGGGAACTCGGTAGAGCTGAACCAGGGAAATATTCTTGGCTTCGTTTAAAAATTTTAAGCCAATGGGTTGACTTTTATAGAAAAAGGGTTTGTTCCTCAGTTAGTCAACGAATAAAAAAAATTGGATTCATTTGATGGAAATGATATCTCAATAATGAGTCAAAAACATGATTTAACTTTTTACAAGACTGATTTTTGCGTTTCTTGTAGACTACATTAATAACTATCAATCAAAATCAATTTTGATTAACTCTATCCCTGCTGGGGTACTTAAAAACCAGGATACGCTGGGGTGGGGGGGATACTTCATTGGAAAGCTCTTATACTCTACTTTGAGAATCTGCTAACAAAATTTCAAAATTTTTTTGTCCAAAACATAAAAATATACATTTTTTAAAAGCCCTTGACCATGCCATTTCAAATATGCACACAAATTTGAAAAGTTTTAAATAACCTGATGTGTTATTAAGAAAAACTAGAAATGTGCAAATTTCTTTTACAGGTTGTATGCAAATAATTTTCAAAAATTTCTTTGCAAAACTGTGCAACCCGTTTCCTTATGTCAAAGGCTTTCCAAAAAAACCAAAAATTATCAAAATCTGACAACTGAAAGTGGGTCAAAACAAAGATTAAGTTTGTAACAGGAAAAAGTAGTCATTCAGGCAGTGTGTGTGAGAACTCAAACAGTTGATATAAAGCCCGGCATTAGAAGGGGAGGGCTATGGGTTCTAAGGAAAAGTCAGAAAATTTCTTTGACACTACTTTTTGAGTTATGTAAAAGAAACTACAGGGTGGGTCAAATTGCCCCCCCCCCCAGCAGGAATAGGGTTAACTCATTTACCAAGTGACATTGTAGGGAAATAAAATTTTTAAGTGTAACTTTTAAAGAAACAACTTGAATGGTTTGAAATGCTGAACCCTATCCCGATTGGGGTATTGTGTCTGCTTAGGGTGCACGGGAGGCTTTAAAAAATTCAAAGAGTATGCCAGAAAAATGTTTAACAATTCCTACTTTTGACGAATATTGAAATGGCATTACATATATATTGTCCAATGGCTTTTAAAATATATTAATTGTACATCAGTTGCTTAATTAATAAAAAAAGCTATTGACTGCTTTTGGTATTTTGGAACCGTTTAAGTGTTTTCTAGTGTGAGCCCCTCTATCGTGATAGGGTTGAGGAAATTGTTTACCATGAGATAAATATGTGAACAATCCCTTTAATAAATCATGAATATTCCCTTTAGTAGATCTCGACCAGGCAGTGGTAAAAGTGTTGCCTGGGAGAATATTGAAGATCCTCCAGCCTTGGAAGACGAGGTAATTATAGGCGTATTATTTAGAGGGGTTATGAGGACTCAACCACACCCCCGCCCCCCCTCCATCCACCTNTAGAAAGCAAACAAATTGAAGCCCCCTCCCATGGACAAATTCATCCTTCAGGAGTTCACCCTATATAAATTAGCAAACAGAGATGCGAGTTAAAGTGGAGTTTAAAATCACTTTTGACGGGTTTTTTGAGTTACACAGTGGAGTTAAACTCTGCAAAAGTTGTGCCAGAGCTGGTGTCAACACCGACATTTAAACCTCTTTTGAAGTCCACTCACCAAATAGGTGAAATCTGGTGGCAAAAACTCGGCTTAAACTTGACCTTTTAAAACTCAGTTTGTAATTTGGTTCACGACAACTTGACTCAATCTTGACTTTTTGAATTGCAATTTGAAACTTAGTGTTAACAACTAGCTATGGCATTACTGAGTGAAATCTGGTGGCAAAACATCGATTTAAACTCGACTTTTTAAATTTACATTTTGTAACTTGGTTCAAAAGTTGGTGCAACATAACACCCAGCTTTCTGCGCTATGACTATTGTAGAGTTTAACGCCACTTGACATTTAGTTGTTCCTAGGTTTCCAGCGAAAGAAAACTTTCGCAAAAAAATTCGAAATTTCTCGAAAAATTTCCCTCTTATTTTGCTAACTTTTTCTTCGACAGTCAAATGCGAAAAAATGAGATCAATTCATTTCTGTTTTGTGGGATATTCATATTGTGGGAGAGCTATTATTAAGTGCAAAAGCGTTTTTGCCGGGATTTTTACTTTTTGTTTGTGGTCAAAATGAAAATATTTTAGTAAGCTACAACTAGCACGGAAGGTCTGTTGGCTGTGGCTACATATCGGAAAATTGAAACTTGAGATGTATCAAAACCCCATCTTTTCATAAATCCATATAAAAATATTAATAAAGTAATCTTTATAAATCGTAAGTTTGAAATATTATTTCTTCAGGTTGATGAGGAACCTTTAGTAAAGGGAACTGATGATATTCCTAAGGTAAATAATTATTATTAAAAGTCGGACCCAAAAAAACTGTGGAAAAGGAAGACAACGGTCAGACTTATGTTCATATCATCCAACAAACAGAAACACGTGAAAAACACAAGATTTTTTGGTGAATTTGGCACAAGTGACCCGTGAATTTGCCGTGATATTCCCGTGTTGACAATGTTGTGAATGTTGACGATTTGATCACGGGTCTAGGACCGAGTTTTACACGAAGAAAACTTGAGTTTATTTCACGAGATGTACTCAGGAATTTTACATGAGAAAATTAATTTTTTTTTCCATCTATTTAAATACATTTTTTAAATCCCTTGAAAGGGGGGATGTATACTTCCTTTTTGATATATAAATGTATTAAAGAAAATACTGTGTGAAAGTATATAATCGTTACAAAATGTTAAGAAACTAAACATTTTAGTTTATATCTTATAACGTTAAACATCTAAATATGATCAATATTCACAAAGTGATATTTTAAGCCTACACAATATTCAACTATGTTAATGTGTTCCTAGTAACATGAAAGTCCCTTCCTTGATATATCTAAAAGATGGATATTCCAAAAAGGGGTTGTTAAGAAATACAAAACAAAATTCAACGTGAAACTTTTCTATACTGAGCTCATGCTTGTTTTAATCTGAAAAATGTATGTCAGTTAAAATTTTTCATTTTACTACATTATACTTTTAGTCTCGAAAAGATGAGCAGAGACACCAAGTGATGTGATTTTGCAACTCTATTAAAAATGGATAATGAAGTTCTTCTCGTAATATCTAATATATTTTACATGTGATATTTACAAGAATTAAAATCTAGATTGTCTGGCATTACATTACTCATGATTAACACGTTGGGAATATGCCAGATCTTGCACTGGTATCTTTGCTACGAGCACAGTATGTGAAAAAACGACGAGAATTGTGCTAGAATTATCTCATATATCTTACACGTGATAATAACGAGAATTAAAATTTAGGTATTCTGGCATTACATTACTTGTGTTTAATACGATGGGAATATGCAAGATCTTGCACTGGTATCTTTGCTACAAGCACAGTATGGGAAAAATACGGGAATTTTGCTAGAATATTTCCGCGTTGTGCTTTACACAGCTTATGCATCTGCAAGATCGTAAAAATGTAGATTTACCACAAGTATAACACAAGAAGGGGCAGTGAATTAATCACGTGAATTAGCAACCAGTTCTCCTCCATGCTAATCTCGTCAAAAACCTGTGTTTTGTTTGTTGGATAGAAATTATCTAAAATATTGATCACTTTGGACACTTCGGAGGTTTGGTTACCAAAAAATAATTTTATTTGACGTCATGCAAAAACCAAACAGAACCCTTTAACATGATCTAGAATGCATTTTTAAACTTTAGTGGTAGTTTCACAAGGTTAAGTTAAAGAAAAAATAAATATTTGAAGGATTTAAGACTCATACAAGATTTTATCATACATGAGGACTAATCATTACTTTGATCCCTAACAAACATTTTCAAATAACAAGGTTTTCAACTTACAAGTAAACAAAAAGAGGCTTTGGTTGCATTTTTTTTAATTCTCTGTTGTTTTAAAGCTTCTTAGACATCAAAATAAAAAGTTGTCCTCATTGTATTAATGTACACAACGACAACTGTATAAAGTTATTCAGGGATGTTGGTATGCAGTGACTCATCGGTTTTCCATGCTCTGGAGTACTAAGGTAAAATATTTATAATGAATATACAGTATAATTTCAAGTGACCCACCATCATTTGTATATTGGCTGATTAACAACAGAACCCTTGAAAGTTTTGACTGATCAAGGATGTTAAACTTAAATTTATAATTATGCAAACACCATAATAGAGCTATGTACAACATTCCCGTGAATAGCCTTTTAATACTCTGATCTAGGATACTGAGGACATCGAGGAGCGCGAGGTTGAAATTAGAACAACTCTTCGGGAACTCTGCATATATCTTCTTTTTGTTTCAACTCTATGCGTTTGTAAGATTTTAAAAATAGTCATTTTTATTTTTCCAATTAAAGAAAAACTAAAGTGGTTTATTTTTGCAAATTCTTATAATCTGAATAATCCCCAGGTAAAATATAATCTGAATAATCCCCAGGTAAAATATAATCTGAATAATCCCCAGATAAAATATAATCTGAATAATCCCTAGATAAAATATAATCTGAATAATCCCCAGGTGAAATATAATCTGAATAATCCCCAGATAAAATATAATCTGAATAATCCCCAGGTGAAATATAATCTGAATAATCCCCAGATAAAATATAATCCGAATAATCCCCAGATAAAATATAATCTGAATAATCCCCAGATAAAATATAATCTGAATAATCCCCAGGTAAAATAGCAATTTATCACAAATTTAAAAAGACAATAATATTTTTTTTTTCAGTGACATTTGCTGGAACAAGTGATAACCGGTAAACAAACTTTCATTAAATTTTTTCATTAATTTTTGAAATTGCCGAAAAATATTGATTTATTTAGATATATTCTGAACAACAACCTCAAAGTTGCTTTTAAAACCTTCCCTAAAGTAGAACAGGTTTGTTTCAAGTGTTGTGTTTATGATGAATTTTTTGCACATAGTTTTTGGTCTGGGTTGAACTTCTTAAGATTTGTTTCTGTCATGAAGATTCAAAACAGGTTTAAAACAGGTTCAATTGAAGATCAACTATGGTTAGATTGTTATTATAAAGTTTCAACTGCACCAACATATTACTATTATTATTAGCTGCCTGAGTTCTGGGAGTGGGTGACAGAAGAATTCCTGGATGTTGTCTACAACGAAAAATGGTAAGTCACTGCTTTAAATATACTTATATACTCATCATAGCAACCAGTCAGATGAGGATGTATGCATTCTGCACCAATCCGCATCGCCATGCACTGAGATGAGATTTTAAAAGCTTAAACCCGACTAAAACCCAAGTCAGGATTGGTTCTGATTCGACCAATGAGAGACTGTTTTGCAAGCTTTCGTTCCGTAGCAGACAGAATGCCGTCAGATCATCTGTGACAAGGAGATGTAAATTCCGAAAATTCAAACTTTATGTAGATATATTATTTTCATAGTATGTTTATTTTCTATAATTAATAAAGATTGACACCACAAATAATTTCTGAGATTTAAATGTACAAATATAAAAGATTTTACGAAATTTATGATCATCATCTGCTAAAGACTCGAGCCTTAAAGAGAGAAAAAACCCAAGTTGGTTGGTTCTTACTATAAACTCAAGGACATCTAAAACCCGGGTCTTGACTTGAGCTTTACTTAGCAGACTCAAAGACCGGGTTTTAGTCGGGTTTAATCTTTTAAAATCTCATCTCTGCATACCACTTATCTGCAACTGACATGGTGCTCTGATGAGAAGTATATTTTATATCATTGTGGAGTATTATATTACTCATTAACATGGGATAGACCCACATTCGTTCACTCCCTTCATTATTAACAGATCAGTTTGTTGTATACTTCTACATAATGAAAGTTTTAAGGGTTTAGATTTCATAAAACACATAAAAATTGGCTTGTCTTTCATGTAATCTAAACCCCCAAAAAAGGAAATTTTCTTTAAGTTTAAAAAAGTTGTTTCTTAAACATTTGTTAACAAACTGAAAATTAAAACTTTTCCCATTTGTTAACGGAACTTTCATTTAATTTGAAAACAATGACCTTTGTTAACAGAACGGTGCCCAGGACATAATTTGTTAAAAAGATTTTAATTTTTTTTAAATTTTGTTTTACAAAATCGTTTGTTCAGTGAAACAACGATTGCTGTTTCAATTTTGTTTTATTCTTTTTTGTTTGTTTTTAAAAAAACGATAGCTTTTTTATTTACAATTTAAGTCCTTAAGAAACTATGGTTATTTCTATTTCTCTAGTATATTTTCAGGTATAATGATGAAGATAGAAATGCTGAAGATAGAAATGTTCTGGGGGACAATAAACTGCTTGGAGTACCTAGGCTTCGGCAGGTATACACAATTAATTTCAAAATTAAAATTTGTTTGCTTATTTGGCAAATTTGAATGGCTGCCAGAGGCCATTTGCAATTTGCCGTCAACGGTGATAGCTGTTGATTTTGTATGCCTGATATATATTCCAAATTCAAATACTAAAATCATTATATATATAGATTTTAATGCCATGTTAGATGGTGTTAATATCTAATGAAAGGTTCTTAGTATTTTAATTCAGGCTATTTAAGACTTACAAAATAAACGGCTCTCATCAAAAACAGCAAATTTCCTACTACTCCCTACTAAGCGACAAAAAAAACCAAATGGCTAATTTAGAAGCCATTTAAATTATCGGAAATTTAAAGTAGTTAGTTACCACAAACAACTAATATGTCATAAATGTTGAAAAAAGTTTAATTTTTCTATAAAAAATTAATCATTCTGTTTTACAAAAACTTTCGTTCTTGCTTGTATTATCAAACTATCTTAAATTTATTATTTATCTTTAGATTAAAGTACGAAACGATTCATGTGCTATCCCTGAAGAATTTAAGAAGAATATTCTTGTTTGCTATGGAAAATATTCCGAGGATATGGAGGATAGAAACACATTTCGTCCTCCACAACTAATGTANGTTTATTCTTAATAATTTATTTTAATTAAATTTTACAATATTTTTAAATTTTTATATGATATCAGATGGAAATATTTTGAGATTTCTTGTTTTTCATCCTTTCTTCTAGATCTTCCATTCCTTGTCCATCCTTCAATCATACTTTGATTAATTTTGAAAATGAAAATAAATGAATTTTTGGATGTTTTCTGCAGCTAGCCAAATTGCAGAGGTATAACTATTTTTTGAAGCCCTGTATCTATATTCTATATATAGAGAGTGGCAAGGTTACTCTTCCCCTTGTTTATATTTAAATTTTGCTTCAGTCATGATACTGTGTCGAGTCAACTCCTGCATTCCTAGCTTTTCTTGGAGGGGAGAGGGGTGAGGGGGGACACATTTTACAGTTTTTTTCAAAGTTTTCTTCTTCTTTCTTGTTTATCTTGCTTTAAGCACCCATCTCTACTTTCAAGAGATTTCCCTTCCACTTTTTTCTGTTCAATTTAATTTTTCTTCTTGCTTCTTGCTTCTTGTTTTTACAAAGGCCTTTCCAAAAATAGTTCTTTTAACATCGAGTTGTGGAGCAGGTAGGAGAGAGATAAGGAGGTTTGTAGGAAGAAGGGTATAGGGGATCTCTCCCTGTGTTCCTTCATTTTATACTGTTTCCCAATTAGGGGAATTAAGGAATTTACCTATAACTGCACCCCATATGCAAAATGGGGAGTTGTGATCCCTGAAAGCTCTATTGAGAGGTATCTTCCATGGCAGTCCAGTCCTCACATCTGTTCGAGTAAAAAACCGGTAGCGTTGTGCATGGCTAGTATTCCCACGAGGGGTTCAACTCCTCTTTCAGTGAACCAAGCTGAAGATGAAGTTTTGTTTTAATCTATACACTTCTTGCTTCCCCTGTAGGATACTAGATGCGTAACTAAACACAGCGCTTCCCCAGCTGCAATTCTGGGACTGCTAAAGAGAAAGCAGGCAACTGTCAAACTTTAAAGTATTTAAATGGAAATCTATAGTTAAAATCAATAAAAATTAAATAAAGCAAAATTAAAACTAATCGAGGTCACACAAACTTTACCTTCTCCTCTGTCTAGTCCAAGAACAAAAAGGTGGCAGGCCTAGATTTGAGATTCGTAGAAACCTACACCCAAGGTTATAATGCAAGGAAAGTTAATTGCAGTTGCGTAAACTCTGCGTACATATTGAAACCAGTTCTCTCTGGGCGGAATTTGTAAACAAGAATAGATGCATCAGTGTTCGTTTAGTATCCAAGGAGGTTAAAAGCATTAAATGTTGATAATTTTGATAATTCACATAAAAGTTTCCTAAGACCAGAATATTTCATTGATTTTTTATGTGAAAGATGGATCCCAAGTCAGGCTTCGACATCCGTCTTGGGTTTACATCACCGCCCGAATACAATACACTGCAGTACAAAAGATGTGTACACCTCTGAAATAACTTTCCTTGCATTATAACCATGCATACACCCGCCCGGCCCCTTTCCACCCTCTAACTTTAAAACAGTTAATCAGATGTAAGGAGTCAGGATTCCTGGTGAATGCAATAAGGAAAGCGAAATATAAAATCAAGACACGTCTAGTTTTCAAAATAAAACCCATAGAGTGTAGGAACAGGGTGTTCAACAAAATCCCAGAACCGAAATCAAATTAGTGGTTATCGGGGCTTCCAGAAAACTTCTCTTCCAAAAAACCAAGAACATGATGGAAAATTGAAGCACAGAAAAAAAACATTGGAAAACAAGACTATTGTCCAAAAATGAAGTACAACAAGATCTGTGACAGGGTGTGTGCAGACATGTGAGAACCCTGGGTGTTTAATTACTTTGACCATTATTTATTCAATTTTTACATATTGTTAAAAAATAAAATAAAATAAAAATAAAATGGTATAAAGTTTTGACACTATAAAGATCAACAATTTAAATTTTTAACTTTTAATTTTCCAAATAATATATTTCAGGCGGACTTCAAGTGATGCTTGGAGGTTTCAATCTTCTAAGGAACAACTTTCGTCACATCCTACGAAGTTTAGAAATTATAAAAGTTATATAAAAGATAAAAATCGATCAAAAACTAAAAAACGTTCAAAAACGATTTAAAACACGATGTTGGTTGATTAGGAGCTTGAAACCGGAGTATATTGGGGAGATCTGGCCTGGTATGGAGGAGGAGGGTTTGTACAGAACCTTGCGGCAACTAATGCAGAATCTCTGGCTATTCTTAGGGTAAGTTGGGTTACATTTCAGTAAATACTTTGTCACAAACTCTGATTTTCTAATCTCAATATATTTGCAACTCAATGTTATAGACCTTAGATTTTTAAACTAGGAATTCTGTTACTTCAAATAATCTAATTTTGAAATATTAAAGGTTTACATTATCAGGTTACAAAGACATAGGGATTAGAAAATTTGAGATAGTGACAAAGACTCAATAGTAAATTCTTTTGAATTCATCCCTTTTATCTTGAAATCTGATTCCAAATATTTTTATTTTTATTTCCTAATCAAAAGTGTGCAACTGGCTAAGAAAGGGCTATATGTGCGTTGCTTCCTCCCCCCATCTCGAATTTTTTTTAACTTTTTAGATAAATTAATTATGTTAATTCATAGTGGTTTTTGGAATGCACCAGTGTACACTTCAGACGTTCTAAAGGGCAGTCTGTGATCAATAAAGTATCAAATAGCTAAAAACTGCCATAAATCAAAGTCAGGATTTACAGATCTTTAAACATTTTTATATGTGTCAAATTGATCAAAAGAATATTTGTCCACAACACTGCATACTCAGTTCATCTACCTAACATAGCCGGTCTGTCCCTTAAAAGCCTTATTTAAGTTGGGGAGGGGGGGGGGGGGAG